TAAGAAGCATAGTATACAAAAGCAGAGCCGCACCTGTTCTTAGGGTTTTTCCCTTTTGGGCTAAATGCAGGAGACACTTTGCCCAGGTGTCTCCACTCAGGCTAAGCAGAGGAATCAAGGGACCAAACACCAGCTGAGCCAACAAGGCACTCAGGTGCCTGGCCCCCTCCTGCCTACTGGGTTTCAGGGGCCCAAATGTGGAGACAGAAGGGCGCTTCTGTGCTTAATGATGCTGGCGTCACTCAGAGACTGTCTATCCTGTGTGAGGGACCCACAAGGGACGCTCTGTGGAGCCCTCGGGTCTCCTGCACTGAGCACCATCTTAAGGAGCCAAGACCTAGTTATATCCTCCCTGAAGCTCGCAAGCCAAGCTACGGTATTGAGAAACTGCCTGGACCTCGCTCCTGCGAGTACTTGACTGACTTTACTTCTGAGAAACTGGGAGAGGTTCATCCTGAGGATCTAAAATAGGAATCACTGATCAACTGTTGCAATAAGGTTTGGGTTCAATAGGAAGAGGGAGCAGGCAAGAGATGGGAGTTGGGCTGGTGCTCGAAACTAGGAGACTAGTCTCTAGTTAGCATTTGTGCTTAAAGCATGCGAGGTGAAATGAAATGCCTTATGTTCAGGCTTTTGTGACTCTACCAAGGGAATGCTCAGGAACTGTTGTTTATTTTTATTTATTTATTTATTTATTTATTTGGTCTTTTAAGACAAGGTCACTTGTAGCCCAGGCTAGTCTTGAACTTGCAGGAATCCTCCTGCCTCAACCCCCCTGAGGGCTGGAATCACAGGCATGTGCCACCACGCCCAGCCCCAGGACCTGGTGTTTAGAGTGACCCCTGAGGAGGAGAAAAATATTCTGGGTAACTGTGGCTTGAGGCCCCACTTGACTCTCAGGAGGATGTGGCTCTCTCTTTTCTGTTTGGTGACACTCACAGGTCTTCCCACCTCATCCTGGCAGTCTCCAGGCCAGTAAATCAGACCCCTTTCTCAGTTACAGATGTACAAGAGGCTTGGAACTAAGCAAATGAACAATGTACTTTATTTTTTTTTTTTCTAACTTTAAACAGATTTTTATTACACAAAGGTTGTCACGTTGATCTTTATTTTGTACACCATTAGTCTTCCACTCCACAGAAAGGCCACTTCTGACTTCTGTCTGTGACGGCAAGCACTAGAATCCTGACTGTAATGGAATAGTAGTAGAAATGCCTCCGTGATTTGAAGTTGAAAGCAGTACACTCGTATGTGGCTCTGGCATGCAGTTTCAGGAATGTGCAAATGTTTTTGTATTCAAAACTACAAAAATAAATTATCTGTAGGCATGGACAATGACAGCGGTAAACCATTAAATATATTGTAGCTGAAACCAGCAATGGTGGGCATTTGGTTTCCTTACATCAGCCAGCCTGCTCTTCATTTCCTTCATGTAAATTTCCAGTTACTGGGAGGACCCTGCAGGGCACTTCCTGTCACAGTTCATGAGTGAGGGCCCCACCACCCATCCCGCCCCCCCCATCCCACCCATGGCACCCATGGCAGGATCCTTCTCCTCCTTAGGGATTTCTGTGACCACAACTTCTGCTGTTAACAGAGAGCCATGCCCGCAGCATCCAGCAGAGCAGTTCTTATGACCCTTGTTGGGTCAGTGATCCCTTTTTCTACCATATTCACAAAAATCTCCAAGCATAGTGTCATAACCAACTTCAGAGGAGCTCTGCAGGATTTTCTCAACTATCAAAGATCCTTCCACACCTGCGTTCTTCCCAATGGTTATCAGAGGGATTTTCAGTGTTCTCTTAATAATTTCTATGCCAAGTTTTTGATCTTCATTAACAGGAGTTAAGGTGTCCATGGCAGGAATGCAATGGAGCAGGGCACACCCACCGCCCAGCACAATGCCTTCCTCCACAACTGCCCTTGTGGCACTGAGGGCGTCTGTGACTCTCTTTCTTCTCGTTCACCTCGACGTCACTTGTCCCACCAACCTTCAGCACAGCCACTCCATCTGAAAGCTTCGCCAGCCACTCATTCAGTTTCTCTTTCTCATATTCACTGGTTGTGATTTCTAACTGTTCAGTGATTCCTTGAATATGCTTTTCAATTTGTGCTTTGTCACCTTTGCCTTTCAAAAGCATGGCATCATCTTTAGTTGCAATAACCTCTCCAACTTTCCCTAAGTTGTGAGGCTGAACATCTTCAAGATTTAGCGTCAAACCCTCTTCTTCAAACACCGCACCACCAGTTGCAATAGCCGTGTCTTTCAGCTGGTTCTTCCTGTTGTCACCAAACCCTGGAGCTTTGACAGCAACAACCTGAAGGCCAACCTTTAGCCTGTTCAAAGCCAGAGCACTGAGAGCTTCTCCATCAGCATCCTCAGCAGTTATGGCCAAGGGCTTTCGGTGAGCACTGGCAATTTCAAGAGCGGGTACAATGGACTGGATGCTAGAAATTTTCTTCTCGCTCAGTAGAACATAGGCATCCTGGAATTCACATTTCTGGCCTTTTGATATATTAATAAAGTACGGAGAAATATATTCTCGATCAAACTTCACGCCTTCAATAATTTCCAGTTTATCACTCAGGATTTTTCCATCCTTTCTGACCCACCTTCTTCATTGGGTGAGATATGATGTTGCCAATTTCTTTGTCTCCATTTGCAGAAATTGTAGTAATCTGAGCAGTTTCTTCAAGGGTTGTCATGGGTTTGGACTCTTTCTTACGGTCAGCAATCACAGCATCAACAGCTAACATCATACCTCACCTGATTTCCACGGGGTTTGTGTCTTTGCTGATCTTCTCAAAACTTCCTTGGCAATAGAGCGAGCTAGGCCTGCCGCTGTGGTGGTGCTATCCCTGGCCTCTTTGTTTGTATTGCTGGCAACATCTTGAACAAGTTTAGCTCCAATATTCTTGTATTCATCCTTTGAATCAATTGCAACAGTCACAGCACTCTAGTTACCTGGGGACTTCCCCAACTCTGTTCAATAATCACTGGTCTTCCCTTTGCCCCATTGTAATGGCAACAGCATTGGCCAGGAGGTCTACACCCTGAAGCAGGAGGGCATGGGTGTCCTCACCAAATTTCATGTCTTTGGCATAAGCCTGAGTCAGCTGCGGAGCAGTGCCCAGGACGCTGGCCTGGCCTGTTGAAGGACCGTGGGTAGCTGGAGCAATTCTGCAGGGCAGTGGCCGGAGCGCAAGTGGTGAGGAAGGCCGTCGGCCAAACTGTACTCTAAAAGGGGAAGAAATCACCCTGGAGAGGTGATTTTCCCTTCAAAAGGACAAAACTGGAACTGTACTAGTAGTAGAGGACTAAGAATGGTGTCTGATATGCCAGCCGCTCTTACCAGGGAGATCAAGAGGTATGTTGAGTCTTTTGTAAATATCCCGACATAGAACCATCTTCCAGGGAGGAGAAGCGCTAGCAGCATATTCAGTGGAAGCTACACAAAGTTCCGATGGGCCCACGGCCACTTATAGCCCAATGGCTGGCCACAGCCTTTACTGTGTTCCACAATCAGGACCCAGAGGACGGACAAAAGAGAAAGGCTGAGATTATAGCTGGTGCAATTGGCAATGCTGTAAGCCCACCCTGGTCATCTAGGAAACACCCAGGGACAACTAGGGAAAGGGCTCCTGATTCGGGTGTAAGAGGTCTGCACACTGGGCTGAAGACTGCCCCGAGCCTGTGCCTACACCCTGCTGTGAGTGTGAGGCAGCTAATGCCCTTGACTTGCGCCATTGGAGGTTTGCATGTCCCTGCTGTTGCAGAGGTGCTAAGACCAGCCAAACCCTCATTCACTTGAAAAGGCCAAGGTAACCTGCAGTGCCCCTGTGCACGACATCGCCATCTCCTTCGAGGAAGCCTGGGAAATCTTACACACCGTGGTGAGCCCATTCGGTCACTGCCTACTGTTGACTGACTTCTCTAGAGAGCCTTCCCTTGCCTCTATGGCCAGAGTCGTGGTCCTGGGGACCCCTAATCAGAGCTTCTTTGCAACTGTACTAACAGAAGAAGCTGCAAAATAAATTTAGGACAGAGACGAGAAGTCCTGACTTCCTATCAGGTCAGAGATATTCTGGAGACAAAAGGTTACTTGTGATTCATAGCGGAGCGGCTCACTGTGTCAGGCCATGCTTTCAGACACCCTGGAGCTATTATACAAACTTGCACTACTGTCAGCCCTGCTTCTCTGATGGCTGTAGGCCCTGAAGTCAGCCACTCTGGACAGGTGTTCAACTAGACCCATGCAAGCAGGCAAGGTGTTGGTGACTGCCCCTCCAAAAAATTGAGGAAGTGTGGGTCTCTGATGGCAGCATCCCTTTCAATAAAGCAGAAGGACCCAGTGATATAGCTCAGTAATGTAAAGCACCTCCTTAGGGCAAGCTGAAGGAGGCGTAAAGGATTGGGGTTCGATCCCTGGTACAACAGGCCCTGCCAGTCTTGCCATCACAGCTGGCTGAGCAAGCCAAAATAATAATAGTAATAGTAATAATAATAATAATAATAATAATAATAACAGGCAGGAAGTTGTACAATTGCTAGGGGCAGCCCATCTTCCCAAGCAGGTCACAATCATGCACTGTTTAGGGCACCAAAAAGACACATCCTCTGTCTCCTTGGGGGACCCAAAGGGTGATAGGGAAGTGACAGGGACAGCTTTGCAGCCCCTGAACACTCCAGCCTTATTCCCAGTTCCCAAGGAACCATTAAAACCAGGCTGTGCCCCTTAGGGAGATAAATGGACCTCAGGACTAGGTGGAATTACAGCAGGACTGATGATTTGTAGAGTAGAAATTGGTTCTTCCTCAAGGGACACTGTGGAAGGCTCCAGAAGCGCTTCATGTTCCCCTCTGTACAGGAAGAGATGCAATATTGGAAATGGTCACTCAAGTTTTCACAGTCCTAGGACTCCCGGCACCAACCACCTGACAGGTGGCTAGCATCTGGAAAGCCTCAATAAACTCCTTTACTTCAGAAATATTTCTCTTTTAATATTTGTTGGCTTACCAGTGTGTTGAAATTTAATCCTCACTGTACAGTATTAAAAGGGTGAAAATTTAACCTATGGTGTCAGAGATGCCAAAATGATCTTTTTTAAAAAATAAAATTTTCTGGGCTGGCCAGATAGCTAAGTGAACTAAAGTGCCTGCTTAGGAAGGCACAGCAACTGGGGTTCACTCCCCAGTGTGCCTTGCTGGCCCCACCCCAGGGGTTTGCTGAATGGCGACTGACACTGGGCTTGGTGGTGTGAGCCTGTAATCCCAGCACTTGGGAGGCTGACAATAGGAAAACTGCTATGAGTCTGATCTGTGTAGTGAAACCCTATAAACCCTGTCCTAAAATATAGAAACAAAATAAAATAATATAAAATAAAATTTTCTGTGTTCAGGGTTTTTGTTATAGCAGCAGAAAATAGGTGACTATATCCATCAAAGGGGAAAAACCAGAAAAGCACTTCATCTCAGAGTACTAGCTGTGGGCCTTGTGGAGCTGTCACTTCAGGGCAGGTTTAAAGATGGAGCATAAAAATTAACAGGCCTTAAAAATCAACACCCTGGGGCCAGCCAAAAAGCTCAGCAGATTAAAGTACCTGCCAGCAGGCGTAGAAGCCAGGGGTTTGATACCCAGGCCTGCCGTGGTGGCCCTGCCCCAGGGTCCCCTGGATAGCTATTGAGATTGGGGGTAGTGGCTCATGCCTATAATCCCAGCACTTGGAAGGCTATAAACAGCAGAATCACTATGACTCCAATCTAGCAGTGAGACCCTGGACAGCCTATAGACCCTTCTTTAAAAAAAAAAAAAAAAATCAACACACTGGCCCAAGGATGGAGGCAGCTCAGCAGTACAATGCCTGTATGTAGTGAGGCCCTGGGTTCTAACTCCAGCACAACAAAAAATAAAATGATGGTAATATCGCTGGCCCAACAGGGTAGGAACGAAGGGGCCAGCTTTGGAAAGAAAGATCTGGGTGGGTCACGGGGGAAAGGAAGCAGGGCAGCCTCCTCCCCAAGGAAGGCGCTTTATCCACAGCCACAGGAACTCCTACCAGAATATTCAAACACACCAGAGAGCAGCTATGATGTGGGGGTGTTTCTAAATTTTGGGGAGCTCATTCTGGAGACAGTTTCTAGGTTCTCTCTGCCCTGAGCAAGGAATTGGTCCAGACAAGCTCAAAAAGTAGCAAAGGTTTCTTAAAGGTAGGAGAAGAAACAGGCTCTGCTGACCCAGTTTGGGCCAAGTAAAAGCAGGAGGAGTATGTACCCTATAGCCTCAGGGTGGGCCCCCAGGCAAGGGGGAATACAGTGGCACACAGTGTGCCCTGTCCTTTTGGCATCATCCCCTCAGGTGGGATCAGGTCTGACATCTATAGGAAACCGAAAATCCACCGGAGTTCTCAGAAGTCCTCACACAGGGCCTTGGGAACTGTGCTGCACCTGCATTCTGGGGTTTTGCAATAGGTCCCCCCTACTTCCAGCCAACTTTGTCACACCCTGTCTTTGAGGTGTGCAGAGATGCCTTGGTCTCAGGATACTGTGACCAGCAGCATCACAGAGCTAGCAACTGTCCCTTCGGAAAAGAAGTCATAAAGTAATACTGTATGTTGAGACACTAAGAGTTCCTCAAGTATTCCAATGGTATTATGGTTACATTTCCACAGGAAGAGAGAGTCCTTATCTCTTAGAGGTACATACTAGAGTATATATTTTGGGAGGAAATGAACTTTCTGGGCTTGCTCTAAAATGCCCCACTGGGGACACCGGGGAGATAGACTTGAAAAAAATGGACAGTGAGTGCTGTCAAAAGATGAAATGATGACAAACTTAGCTTAAAGATCTAATTGGATTTTTTCCCCAAGCCAAACTGTATCAAGCTTTATTAAAAATACTCTGCATAAATATCATGCCTGACCCAGGGGAGACCTTTTCAGCAAACAGCAGAAAGCCACTGTCCTCAGTGCACAGAGCAGGAGGGCATGAGGAAGAGACCCAGACGAGATGCACAAGCTCTCGGTCACCAAAGAGTCAGTGATACCTGCAGTCCTGCACCGACGGTCCTGAGACACTGGAGCACATCCATTCCACACCCCCTAAATTCTGCCTGGTTGATGAGATAACCCACAGAACAACAGTTAAAATCATCACTCTTGTGTGACATCATCTCAGAGTCATCAGCAAGTCCAGATGGCCCAACATAGTGTAGGGATCCGTTGGTCTCAGTGTGATCCACTGTACCCCTGGAGAAATGGCTGCACGAATGAGGAAAACATAGATGAGAAGTCACATGGTCAGGTGGTAGCCCATCTGCCTGGCTGACGAGACAACCCGCAGAACAACAGTAAAGACATTTACTCACACCTTTACAAAGTTACAAGACACAAGGTTGTCTACTGACTAATAGCCCACAGTGTCCAGGCTAGATTTTGTTTAACGCTGAGGTAGGCTGAGTGCTTTAGCAGTGAAGCCTCATCCTGCCCTCCCACATAGGATCAACCTTTTGCTTTAGCAGCTCCCAACAACACACTGATGACATCAACTTTTGGGAGTCAGGTCCCAGTGGGTCTCTGGGCTTGAGGGGGTGAAGTGTGTGCTGAGAGCAGAGGAGAGGAGGGCATAAAATGCTATCCTAAAAAGGAGTTGTCCCACCCCACACGGCATTTGTGCCAAGGTGGCCCCATAAGTCCACTTTAAGGACTCCCTCCTTGTGGGAGCCAGGAAAGAGACTCTGAAAACTAGCAAGGAACGCTGATTTCCCCACTTCAATCCATCTCTAAAGACACTGCATTTGGGACACATACTCCTTCCCCAGAAAAACAGGCAAGTGTTCTTTGTACACAAATGTAACTTAAATGACTAAATCAAAATTCTACATTATTATAGAACTTGAGAAAAATAATGCATTAAACTTCACAGTCACCAGAAGCACAGTTATCAAAAAATGAGGACCATTCTTATGTGGCTGCCAGGCTCCTTCTCCAGTCTCCATCTTCAGTTCGCCTACCTAAACTCCAGCCTCCACCATGTCCATAAAGGTGACTCAGAAGTCCTACAAGGTGCCCACCTCCAGCCCCTGGGCCTTCAGCAGGCTCTCCTACACCAGTGGGCCTGCTTGCTGTATCAGCTCCTCCAGCTTCTCCTGAATGGGCAGCCCCAGCAGCTTCCAGGGTGGCCTGGGGCTGGGTGGCAATGGCGGGGCTGGTGGTGTGGGGTGCATCACACCCGTCCAGGTGAACCAGAGCCTGCTGAACTCCCTGCACCTGGAGGTGGACCCCACCATCCAGGCCGTGCGTATTCAGGAGGAGAAGATGAAGAGCTCAACAAGTTCACCTCCATCGAGAAGATTTGGTTTCTGGAGCAACAGAATAAGGTGCTGGAGATCATGTGGAGCCACCTGCAGCAGCAGAAGACGTCCCAGAGTAACATGGACAACATGTTCGAAAGCACTACATCAACAACCTCCAGCGACAGCTGGACTCACTGGGGCAGAAGAAAATGACACTGGAGGCGGAGTTTGTTAACATGCAGGGGCTGGTGGAGGACTTCAAGAATAAATATGAAGATGAGATCAACAAGTGTACAGAGATGGAGAATGAATTTATCCTCATCAAGAAGGATGCAGATGAAGCTTACATGAAAAAGGTGGAGCTCCAGTCATGGCTGGAAGGGCTGACTGATGAGATCAGCCTCCTCAGGCAACTGTATGAAGAGATCTGCAAGCTGCAGTCTCACATCTCGGACACATCCGTGGTGCTGTCCATGGACAATGGCCGCTCCCTGGAGCTGGACGGCATCATCACCGAGCTCAAGGCCCAGTACGAGGAGATCACCAACTGCAGCGGGGCCAAGGCCGAGAGCATGTACCAGATCAAGTATGAAGAGTTGCACACTCTGGTTGGGATGCACGGGGATGACCTCCACGCAAGAAGTCCAAGATCTCTAAGATGAACTGCAGCATCAGCTGCCTGCAGGTGGAGATTGAGGCCCTCAAAGGCCAGCGAGCATCCCTGGAGGCTGCCATCGCTGATGCTGAGTAGGGTAGGGAGATGGCTATTAAGGACACCAGTGCAAAGCTGGCCCCGCTGGAGGCCTCACTGCAGAAGGTCAAGCGAGAAATGGTCCAGGAACTGTGCAACACTAGGAGCTCATGAATGTCAAGCTGGCCCTGGACATTGAGATCACCACCCACTCCAAGCTGCTGGAGGGCGAGAACAGGCTGGAGGCTGGGATGCAGAAGTTGAGCATCCACACGAAGGCTACCAGCAGGCTATGCAGGAATGGTGAGCTCACCCTAAGGGGGTCTCAAAAGCCCTGGCTTCATCCGCACCAAGTCTGCTGTGGTTGTGAAGAAGATCGAGACCCCGCGATGGAAGCTTGTGTCTGAGGCCTTTGATGTCTTGCCCATGTGGATGGACCACAGCAGCCCCTCCCACCCACACTCCTCCCACAGCTACCCCAGGCCCCGTGGGGAGACAGCTGCTCAAGAGAGCATGGGGAGCTAGAGACCACCTGAGGCTCAGCCCTCAGCCCACCTTTTGAGGGCCAGTACTGCCTGGGAACTCCTTCTTGCCCATTCGCTTCACTAAAAACCAATTAAATTGTCTTTTCCAAAATAAAGGCTGTTTTTCACAGACACACACACACACACACACACACACACACACACACACACAGAAAGTGAGCACACTATACTCGGTGTCTCCAGCCTCTGAGACCTTCTGTGCAGGCCTGGCTGGCCCTCTGCATTTTCTGCATGGCTATCCTGTCCTTCCATCCTCAGCTTGAGCCTTTCCCCCTTAGCTACCTTCTCTCCCTTCTTTGCAGAGGATTTGGAAGGCATGGGCTCTGGCTTTGGAGGAGCTGGTTTATCAGACAACCTTGCGGATCTTCCGGAAAAGTTCTTCCTTCACCTTGGCAATGTCACATTCAGTGTCCCCTTCTGCTTTTCACTTGGGCATTGTGAACATGGACACAGGCACTTCTGCAGCTTCTGCTTCTTTTTTTTTTTTTGGCAGACCTGGGATTGAACTCCGGCCCTTGCACTTGCCAGGGAAGCGCTTATTTAACTGAGCCATCACCTGGCTGCTTCTGCTTCTGCTTCTTTCTTTCTTATAGAAAGGGTCCTGCTATGTAGTTCATGATGGCCTCAAACTCTAATCCTCCTGCC